CTCTTGGTCGGGATGCGTCACTCCTGAGCTTGGAGGAGGTGATCCTTGAATACTGACCAGCTTTCCTGGGCCCCTCTTCCCTCTAGGGCTTTATCCCACGGTATTCTACCAAGCAGATCCCTGAGGAGGCCAAAGTCTGCTCTCCTGAAGTCCAGGGTAGCGAGCTTGCTGCGCACCCGCCTCGCTGCCCTAAGGATCGTAAACCCCACCGTTTTGTGGTCACTGCAGCCAAGGCTGCGCTTGACTTTCACATTCCCAACCAGCCCCTCCTTGTTGGTGAGAACAAGGTCCAGCATCGCACCTCTCCTCGTGGGCTCCTCTATCACTTGGAGGAGGAAGTTGTCCTCAGCGCATTCCACGAATCTCCTGGCTTGCCTGTGCCCTGCTGTGTTGTCTCTCCAACAGATGTCGGGGTGGTTGAAGTCCCCCATGAGGACCAGGGATTTTGAACGTGAGGCTTCTCTGATCTGCCTATAGAGGGCCTCATCCGATCGCTCGTCCTGGTCTGGTAATGTTGCCCGTCCCTGCCCTGCCTTTAATCTTGACCCATAAGCTCTCCGTGGGCTCCTCATCCATTCCCAGGAGGAGCTCCATGCACTCCAGCTGCTCTTTGTCATAGAGGGGTACACCTCCTCCTCGTGTCCCCTGCCTGTCTTTCCTAAAGAGCCTGTATCCTCCCACCTCAATATTCCAGTCATAGGAGCTGTCCCACCACGTCTCCATGATGCCGATGATGTCATAGCCCTGCAGACGTGCTAGCCCCGCAGACGTGCGCACATCTCTAGCTCCTCTTGTTTATTCCCCATGCTATGTGCATTTGCACGGAGGTATGTGAGCTGAGCCCCCAGTGAAGCTGCACTGTTGCTGCTACACAGCTCCGTTCCGTAAGGGAGCTTTAAGCAGTGTTTTCTCCAGCACTGACTTGAAACCAGTGGGTGTTTGTTTGGGTTGCCATCTTATATTTTTGTTAGCATCGGCTGTACTATTAGGAAATGTTGAGACAACAACTTTAATGATAATAGAATTCTTTCATGACATTTAATCCTGCAGCCCCTGCCTATAAATGGACTTTTGGCAGCTGCATTGGTTTGGAAGCAATAGTAACTATGATCTTGACAGAAAGGACATTACTTGTGCTGGTTAATTTTTTTCAAAAATCTCAGAAGTATAGTTTTTAACATTAAGTGAATATAAGAATTGACAACTCTTGATTGAATTTGTAAGTGCATTTACATACGCATAGTATAGTCAGGTATGTGTTCATGTTTTCCTTTATGTAGTTTTACATCATTCCTCTGAAATCAGCGATAACAAACTTTAATCTGTAAAAATTGCATTGTGCTTCTGTGATTTTGTTGTCCCTAACTGGTTTAGGTCTTGTTGTAAAACAGAAGTTGCAATCGTAATTAATTGACAGTCTCTTCTTTTGGATGAAGATCAAGTAAATCCATTTTCTCCGTCTTTGGTACTATTCACCATGAGCTTTTACTGGCTCACCTGTGGACCTTACAAGAGGTAGAGTAGTAAAGGGAAAATATCTATTTATTCATTAGAGAAGTCTTTCCAGTTTTAAATAAGTAAATTAACTTTAGGCTTTACATTTGAAAATTTAAAAAAAAAAACAAATGATGAGTGTGTATGTCCAGCTGTGTATGCCTCTTACCTGATCAGAAAATCATCTCCTCCGCAGTTTCGGTGTCAGAACTGCTCATCTTCGCAAGTCTGCTCACAGGATGGCACTTTTTATCAGGTAAGAGGCACTCACGACTGTACATACTACAGTCATTAAGGTCCCGTCACCACTTCAGTTGTAATCCAAGTTGTGGGATTTTTATAATTCCTCACTGCAAAGTGCTAAAACTCTATGAGCAAGGCCTGAGCATTTTCGTTCCTTCAGAGAAAGCTTTACTGAATGAATAAGTAGAATCCAGTCAAAAGGATTAAGGGTTTCTTTTGCTTTACATTAGGCAGTTTATCTTTTTTTTAAAGAGGTGTTATTCTGTAGGCTAGTATCTGCATCAGTCTGGAAGGATTATCCACCTCTTCCTGTCTCATCCTTCTAACTCGTAGCATTGGGCAGTCACTGACAAGGGATCAAAACTGAAGAGTGAATCAAAAGAGGCTGTGTTGGTTTCATCTCTGTATGTCAATTCATGTGTTCTTTTTAATGGAGTAAACCAATGTTACATTTTTCTAATACTGTATTCCTTTCACATCTTTTAAAGTTAGAAATGGAATAATGCCTTATCTCTAGAATATAACAAACCAAAACCTCCAGAACCTGCAAACTGAAGTTGATTTCTGAATTTCACTGATCAATCTGGTTCATACTTACATGAAACAATATTTCTGTTTCCTCATTGAGAATTTTGATGTGAACAAATTTCTAGAAATTACTTTGGAAGTTTGAAATAATATTTTTGCTTGAGCAAAATATTAATCATAAAGCATCACTCCCCACTCTGGATGGGAATGACCTGGCAGTCGTGCCTACCTGAGTAATTAAAATTGTTCCAGCATAGTGCATTTTATTTGTGCAGTGGCTTTGTAATTTTCTTGGCAAAACCACTGAGCTTCACTGATTTACATGGCAATTTCGGTGAGGTGACTGCTCTGTCTCTGCCTGTGCGCTCTTCCAGTGAGAGTTGAGTACTTTTAGAGACAATTTATATAATCAAAGTTAAAAACATGTGAAGTAGCATTTAAATAATATGGTAGTCATATCCTATGCAAAAAAAAAATCAGAAACCAAGTAATTTATGAATATACAAATATGTGTTTGTTATTGCACATGCAGACTACACATAGTGCTCCCTGTCTTCTCTCCTAAATGCTCCTGCTACTGTTAAATTCCTGTTTTCTGCACTCCAGCTTGTAAATACCCAGCAAGTATGATCACATTTAGTTCTGGTGATCATTTCAGTACCATGGCATGGGAAGTTTATTAACCTGTATAGGTCTCTGCAGTAGTATCTTTTTTGGTCACTGAAGTTCATCTCTTATTACATTTGAAGGGTGCGGTAAAATATTTCTGATTTTAATGATACCTTCTGTAATAATTCTTTATAATTCCAAATTTGCAATACAAAAAGACTTAGATTAGCCATGTTCCTCTGCCCTGCGGCAGAGAGGTAAAGCCCATACAACTCCTGAGACCATAAGATTTTCCAGGGTTTTATGCTACAGAAAGCATCCAGTATCCTAATGAAGTTCAGAGGAAAGCATCAGACTTAAATGAAATCCTGACAGACTGAAAAAATAAGGCACTTAGTAAAACAGCACTTCCTGCAACAAGTGCCCAGGTATTCCATGGCACTTTCTGGAAACTCACCCACTCTTGCCTCCCATTCTGCAACAGTTGTGTCCAATTCAGGGATCCAAGCAGCTGATTTGCCTGTTTTTTTTCGGTAAAAACTAATAAAAATGTTTCACTAGATCTGAAGTTGAGGAGTTTGTATTTGGGGGAGAAGTTAGTCTTCATCTCTCAGAAAATCAGCTGACAGCAATTTGACCTGATTTTTTTTTTTCTTTTTTTTCTTTTTAATACCAGAGTAGCCTGGCTCTCATTAACCAGTGCTAACTACTAGTATAGCTATGGAACCTCCGTATATACAAAAATCAAACAAAGTGCATCATCCATAAATGGACTTTGTTTTAGAAAGTATAAATTTCAAGATTGCCTTTCCTCAAACACAGCAACACAGAAATAAGAGGTGTTGTTTGGGCACTCCCGTTATATATGTTGTAAAACATGTAAATCATGAAATGTATAAAAGCAGATACAGGAATTTTTATATTAATGACAAATAAATACAATTAACTGACTTAGAGATTAAATATAGGTTTGAAGTACAAGTATGGATTTAACTGTCGAAATATATAGAATTACTGCTTATAAATAAAACTGATTGTCATATACATGTGTCTTAGGGATAAGCTCTGGCTATTCTTAAGGCAATCTTTAATTGCATTTTCTTGGTAATTTTTATGAATGATGTCTTCATGTTTTCTTGTCTCTTTTTGTTGTTTTTTTCCTGCTTTTGTTTTTAGTCTTACCCTATGGTACTTCAGTATCGACCTAGAATTGACTTCGGTTAGACCAAAGGGCCAGATTCCACTGAGATGAATCCTGCACTATTTGTTTACCCATCGACAGATTGCACAATGAATGGATGTGCCTGGATTAGGGGGACACAACCAGATTTTCAGCATGCAAATAAGGACATTGTCTTTCTTAAAATTGTCAGTTGCATCTCTGTTGTTTCTATTAGAGCAAGCCAAGTGCCATTCTGCTACTGAAATGTGCATAAGATATTTGTGTATCTTACGAGTGTGCTGCAAATCATAGCCAAAATCATGAAGTGTACAGTCAAGATTCAAAAACTACGGAATATTTTTGCTTGTGTGTTAGAAAATTTTTCTGGTCCTAATATTGATTACACTAGCAAAATGGCAGAGTGCTCATTCCATGTGGTGTTGCAGTTTCACACGCTATTTTACTGAATATTGTATAAATCATAGAGTACTGTACAAGTAACTAAGGATTATACCTTGAAAATATTTTGTATAGAAAATATATTTAGAAAAGTGGTGATTGGGCCACTACCTTTTGCTTGATAAACTTCTCATGGGTCCAGGTATAGCTCACTCATGAGTGTGCAACAGTCCTTTTGCAGTGGATGAAGATTAATTGCCCTTAACAAGAGATGGAGAACATGGTAATTCAAAACAGCAATTTTAAATCTGCTAAATAGATTCTGCTAATATTGCTTAAAAGCATTGCAGCCTTTGTGATTGCACTTTTCTATGGGTTCCCGAAAGACTGAAATTTGGAATACTATCTATTTTTGGAATATGGCTTCTGGTCAGATTACATTTCTTCTAATAAAGCCTTCATAAAAATGAAGTTTATAATAATGTAAATTCTATGGAGCAAATGAATTTCACTACAAGATTACAACCAAGGCAAAATTTTACATAAATATTGCCTTTCATTGCAAGCATTTCCTTTTAAGATTGGTTGAGGCATATAATACGCTAAGACAAAAATAATATATAGCTTTAATTACATTATATATCTCTTGTGACTATCTGGAGTTTAGAATTCATTATAGAAATTTTCATTAGTTAAAGTCACATCATAAAATTGTTTAATAATATTAGACGTAATGCAATACTGAAGATAAGCAGTCTGACCAAAATAATTGTTTGGGTCTTTTTCCTAAGACCTGGTAGTGCTGGATAAAAAGAGATTGTTGCCTTAGGTATTGCAAGTGTAATGGTTCTAGTATAGAATGTTTATTGCAGTTTCTGGTGATGTTGCAGGGAGCATAGTAATGCATATGTTTTCTGTAGTCTTCCATTTTCTCTGCTCTGCTTAAAAGTCAGTTGAGTTTTTCACTTCAAATTCTGTGGAGATACTTATAGTTCAGTACCTTTATGTAATTTCTACTTAATACATGCCTGCTAGTGTTGTAGATAACTATTTACTTAATTATGCCTTTTGCATACAGCAAAAAGGAGCCAAATCAACTTTTCATAAGCTACTATAGAGTGAACTGATCATACTTAGATAAGACAAAATGAAAATTCTATCTTGGGATCAAGTATGAAAGATAGATGCAAGCCTGTAAGTCCTTTGTAAATTTTTGTTCATCTATGTTAGTATGTTTCTGTAGGAGAAGCAGCATGTTGTGGATTAAATCTGGCCCCTTTAATGTTAGTAGGAGTTCTAACATTGATGACTTGAGGAATCCATAAATAGTCGTGTTGAATTCTACAGTTGCACTCCAAAGCCCGTGTGACATACAGAACTAAAGATGCTGTCGGTAGCAGTCTGTTTAGGAAACCTGCCATTGCAGGTCAAGGTTGCACATATTGTGCAGATGCCAGTGCACTGGGGGAAGCAAAGCATTTGGGAAGCGGCTGCTCCTTTCTGCAGGCATAGCGTGCCAACTGATACAGGCACTGGTATGCCCATGCTGCAGATGGGAAGGGTGCACGTGCTGGCTGCAGGAAGCGGTTGTCTTCTTGCCCACGCAGTTGATGATGTGGTGCTTGACAGAAGCAAGAAGATACTCCATGTAGGGAGGGCCCTTCTCCTCTGCAGAGTTTCTAGTATATAGAGGTCCTTCACATGGAGCAGCTTGGAAGAGCAGAGCATGCATTCTAATTGCAAATCATTCTTCTCTTTAGTATATACAGTTGTTTTGTACCGTAGAAATAGGTTACTATTTGTAAATACTTACATGCACATACAAATGACACCTTACAGTTTTTATATATGTCACGTGTTTTTATATACCAGAATTTTCACTGTAGATTCCCTTGACATAAAATGCCTGTTTCAGTTTATCACAAAGCTAATAGTAGTATGCTTAAGCATAATTTCCACTTGGTTCAGGGGACAATTTTTTTTTTCAACAATTGCGCTTGCTGTTTTGACAAATTTGAACAGACTTGTTTCAAAAAGGGAAGAACACGTTATTTTTTAATCCATTTTAAGCTATTTTATACAGAAGCTTACATCCACCTAACAGGACCCCTGAAATAGGACTACTTTGTATTGGCTTGTGAATGGCAACTAGTGGAAGATTTGCGTCTGTATTCACAATTCAGAGCATCATGAATTCTCTTGATCAGAATTGGATGCTGGTTTAATTCATGGTATTTTCTTGATGCAACTTAAAGCTAGATTACAGAAGGCAAATCTTCATTTTAAGCATGGAAAATACTGGAAGACATGATTTAATGTTCCCAGCTGAGAATCATGGCATTAAATGCATATGATCTAGCTACCTACACTTCATGCATTTCTGGTTTCATGACACGGTGCCTGAGTGCTGTTATAGTTTAATAGTTTTTGTAGCAGTGAAGTGCCAGTGAAATACGTATCTTAACTGGGCTGCTTGTATAACACAGGCATTGCCTTCTTTACAGGAAATTTCTCTCCCGTATAGTACATATGTGCCATGTGTCTACAGATATGCATATTTAATTCATTTGTGCCAATTAAGAATATCTGAACAGCATAGGAAAATGAGAATGCGTGTACAGATTGCTGTGTGCCAAAGATGGGGTAAAGCATTCCATTAAAACTGCAGTATATGCCACCCTGGAGCAGATGGCTGTACACAGTCACCCTTCCTGAGCATTTCCACGACACAGTGTCACCATTGCATGTTTGTAAAGAATAGGAATATAAGTGTTGCTGCCACTGTGTTTCTACAGCTTTCCTATATTGGCAGTACCTAGCTGCAGAGGAGCAAGTCCTAAAAAGCTCCGTACTACTACCTAACCTTGCTGCCTCTTATTTAGTACATTTCGTGCTTCCCCCCCAAAAAAGTGAAAAACTTGTGTCTGCTTTTAACTCTGGGCTAACTCATTAATGAAAGTCATAAGCAGCTTTTTGTTGAGCATAGCTGTATGCTGCATTTGTCTAGTAACAAACTCTGAGAATTTACAAACGAGATCCTATAATATCTCAAACAATATGGAATTAGATGATTAATTAAGAAATGTATCTTCCATCGTGCATTACTACACTGCTCACAGCTAAGGGCCTAGTCCTATAAACATATTTTTGTTTGGATTAAATACCGACTAAGATTACTAGAATAATCTAAGTGACTCATCAGTAGAGTAGGTACTGTTCACATGAAAGCTTCTGGGATGTGGGTCCAAGGAGTATGTGACTCTAGAAGTATATTGTGCGTACCCAGCTGTCTTGCAGTCATTATGCAAAAAAAAAAAAAATTTAAAAATATATTATTTTGACTTTACTGAAAATGTTATATAAAGCAAAGTGCCTGATTTATTAATACAGAATACCTTTTAAGACCATTATTTGCATTTGGTGGGGTAATATTTGCTTCTGTATTTTATCAATGGTCTTCATATTTTCAGCAAGAATATTTCATAAACATGCTGTATTGAGAAGTTTTCTTTCATGGGAAACAAGCAAAAAAAAATAAATGTGTTCTGTTAGATAATTTAAATTGAAAAAACCTAGCTCAGTAGAAACTATATAAAAAGAATTACTTTTATGTTGAAATTATTTATTTTTCTTCATGAGGAACCCTTGAATTCTGCATCTTTGTCTTTTTTTCTCCATAGGTTCCAAAAATTTGACTTGACTTTTCTCTCCTGCAGTTATTAAAAACAGTACTAGTATATCTGCAGGAGAAAAGTGATTGGTCACGTTCCATAGAGATATAATCTAGGCTCTTGTTCTCCACTACAGATAAAGTAATGATCCAGAGATCCCTCTCATGTCTCCCATGGATAATTGTTAGACGTGACTTTGTGAGAGAAGTAAACAATTTTTCCTTCTGTGCTGTTTCCTAAAATAACAAAATAGGCGAGGGTTTAGGCCTTTAATTGAACCAGTCACTGAGTTGTATTGTTCCATTTGTGGGTTTTTCTACATTTTCGTATTACTGAAAACACCAAGAGGCATTCACTCCCCAGAAAAAATATTCTTGGGAGGACTTGCAACAAAAGGAATAGTATGCAGCTCAGACAGGTACTATGTCTGGTGGAAATACTAGAGAACAGATAGTTGTTCAAAGCCAGTCTTTAAGTCTCAAAATAAACAGACTGAGCCATGTTTATAGAGGGGCGACATAAAATACTGGACAGTTACATGGACTGATGAAACTCATTTTTATGCTGGAAAAGACCAGAGGTCTTTTAAGACTGTTAAGACCGTATCTCGTAAGACTTCCACGCCTATCCACAGCAAAGGTATAAACAAAGATGCTTAAATCAAGAGCTTGGTACAGTTTCTTCACTTAACCTAGACAGGTTGAGTGCATCTGTTTGCCTCTATTGAAAATGCATACATTATGCTGGATGTTCCCCTCTCAGTTTACTTCATGCTGTGTTATTTCATTATTTATCTCAGTTAAATGTCTATTTAGGCACCCTCTGTCCTGTAATCAATTCTGGGTTCTTACACATCTTTTACCCATTCCCATACCCTGCCCCATTTCATGCCCAACAAGTAGAAACATTGAGGAGTTATAAAGAAGAAATTGCACATGAGGAGTCGGCTCATAGTTTTCATTTGTCAGGAAGCTCTCATGGATTTCAGCAAAGTTTTCAGAGTACTGCATTTTGAATCTTTTATAGCCTTGTTTGAACAAGGTAATGCTTCCAGAAGGTGTTTGCTGAAGGAAGGGTTACAGTCTACTGGAGCATGTTCCAGGATGATTTCCAAGACACAAGGGGATTGATTCATCCTAAAGGAAATGTGAAAAGATTCCAACTGCTCATTTACCACTAGCTTTATCATATATAGATAGTCTGGCCTTCAGACCTCAGCTGGAATGTCGCTCTGTAGGACTGTCCTCCAAAAGATGATCTTATAATGGTAATATATTTTTCTTCATAAGCAGATCTGCCTCTTGAATTCTTTTTTTTAAACTACTGTCTAAACTGTCTGTACATCAGATTAAAACATCAGATTCCAGAACAGGAGATTGATTAATTAATGAATTCCTGGCATATTTTTCCATCTAAGATCTGTGCCATAAATCATCCTCTGAATTCAGGTAGCTTGCTACTACAGTGGAGTAAGGACGTTGTTTCATTCTCTCGTAAGCAATTTAGGTCTGTACAGTTCTGGAGTGCGGCAGTGCAACGGAGGAAGTCTGTAGGCGGGTGGAAATGTCCAGACTACCTTTTGCACTTGCAGAAAGAGACCCAGTTCTGTGGGCTCAGCCTGGAGGGGACATTCTGGAATGAAAGATGGCTACAAGTGGAAGTTTTTGTCATTACATTAATTTCAACCAAAGAGAGACATTAGTTTGACTTTGCATGTTTATCTGAACCATTAGGCATACCTTTCTTTGAAGTAACTTTTAGGTGTACTTTTAGCAAACGCTTCTAACAATAATGTGACAGTTGACAGGATG